GGAACAGCATTAAAATCTTATCAAAACAAATCCAAATGAGCATCAGTCCAAGAACAAAATTGACCCAACATGCTCCTGGGTGAAAACGTGGCTGTTCTTTCACAAAATGTTTTATTCTTACATACCGTAATCTTATTTAAGATGCGAATGGGAAACTCAGGATGAAAGCCTTCCTACCAAAGCATCAGAACAGGGGCTCCTGTGCAGGAGTGAGGGATGTGGAATGGCTCCTGACACCTGGAACATTCTGTACAACTGCTTAAAGCAGGGGCTGTTGATATTCCAGTAAACAATCATATAAATGTATCTGGACACTCTTCCTGGCTTTGAATTAGAAAATATATAATTTCTCAAAAGTAATATTCCAAACCCATCTGTTCTCTGCAGATTCTTGAACAGCTTAATTTATGCCTTCTGTCATGAATTAGCAAAGCAATCTAAGCGTGCTACCCCAGGATGTGAGCCACTAGCCTTTATTAGGCTGAAGTGGTTGTTTATTCTGTGTTGGTGCAGATTCTGCACCAAAAAAGTCTTCACTAGATGGATGTTCAGCAAGCTGCAGTTTGTTCAGACAGTTTAATTAACTTTGGGAGAGGACTAAATTGAGTGGCCATCTAGATGTCTGAAGGGCAGATTGCTGGTGTGTCCCACCCAGAAATCTAAACCCCTGGCTGTGTACAGGGCTGCTGGGACCCACACACCAGCTGTTCCCAGAGTCTCAAGGATGAATTTCTGAACCCGGCATCCCTTCAGTTCATGATGCAGGGCACAAAGCTGGAGAAGGAGGTATTTGCAGTTCTCCCAAAGTGTCCCATTCCCACGGGGTTTTGGAGCTCCTGCTCAGAGTATGTCACCCCCAGGCTGGATTTTCTGGGACCCCAAATTGCTGCTGCAGCACCGATTCACAGTGACACAAACATTTCTGACCCACAGTGTCCCACCCCAGCTGGGGGCTGGCATCACCAGTACTCACAGTGACACACATCACCTGGGCACAGGAGGATCAGCAGGGTGGTTCAGGTACCCAGGACACTTCATGGCAGGAACATCCCCACGGGAGCAGCTGGATTGGCAGCAGGTGCATTTGTTTGTATTGCTTCCACTCCATGAAAGAAAATGAAGCTTGTTCATTTAAACTAAAAACTGAAGAAATATTTATATATATATATATATATATATATATATATATATATATATATAAAGGCTGATGTGTATTTGGCTTCAGCTGCACTCCAGAAACCCCACCCTGGTCCATTAGCCAAATGTCACTGTCAAAGAACTGTCCCCATCTGGATTAACTTCTAAAATTTAGAGAAGAGTATAAGAAATTATGTGATAAAACACTGCTGCAATAATCTAACCTTACCTCCTGCAAACACCATACAATTTTTCTAAATTAATTCCAATTAAAGCAAGTTTTTTCACCTCCCACAATGGAGATGTTCTCATTTGCTTCCTTACAAGGCACTTTTGCTAGGCCTCAGTCACACCTGCCAGACTGCATCCTGGCTATGAGAAATCCAGGTGCAAAGCTTAAGGGATTCATCCAGTGTCTGGTTCTGGTCCTCCATGGAAAAATGGTTTTTGTTTAGAAAATCCACTGTTCTGTCCCAAGTGGTAGCACAGCCACTGTGCTGTGTTAGAGCCTGAGTGGGACAGTCAGACAAACTCAAGTGTGGCTCCTGTCCCAGAAAGGAGACCAGAGCTCAGCTGCCACCTCCAGCCAAGACCACCCTGTGAAATGAAGGATCCTCCCTCCTTGCATCTCCTGCCAAGACAGATGTGTGCAGCCACTAACTGCTGCTGGATTCAGCACCAATCTATTTGGATAGATTTTTTTTTGAGAAAACATATAACCAAGTGCTTAAAAATCTATTTTAATGACGTTTTCAAGAATAATAATACTCTGCATTACAAAAGAAAGAGGTAAAAGGTACGTCTTTGACATATCAGAAAAACTTACAGCAAAGGCATAGAGTATCTTCCAACCAAAATAAAGCTATGTTGTTCCCTACAGGGAAGCTTTAAGTATCTGAGATTCCTTCACCCAATTCACTTTCAGCCTTCATAGAAAAAGGTGAACAGTCAAAATAGTCACTCTACCATGTCAGCTTAAATATTCCACTGACTGTCGACAATTCAGCAATAAAATTACAAATATACAGAAAATGGATCTACTGTACCGAAGCTACTCACACAACCAACAGCAAAAATACATAACAAAATAAGCAGAAATAAAGTGTTTTCATTCATAAAAGTATAATTACTCCCACATTCCACTCTGTCCCAAACCAACACAGTAACCAAAGAGGAAGACAACTGTTGTCACACTTTGTAGAGAGGGCAGAAGACAAATCTACACAGGACTCACAAATCTGGACTAACCCTAATTCTACAAACCATTTGCTGCAGACTCACAGTTCATACATGAAAACATGTAAAATTTATAGTAACAATTCAGAACAAGTGATGCTAATGAAGGGTTGCTGCCTGTTGGGCAGAACAAGCCCCAGTCCAGCATTCCAGACACCACAGTGCTTTGGAGAATCGTCACAAAAGGCCAAAAGTTGTTTTTCCAAGCTGGAGGACAAGACACAAGGAAACCAGTATTGCCTTCAGTGCAATGTCAGGCTTTGGAGCACGGCATTACGGACACAGAATGCTACAATGCACACGGGCTCCATCAGCAGCACCCCAAAGGATGGAGGGCGGCTCCTGCCTCCCTCAGCCCTGCCAGGAAGGGGCACGTTAAACTACCCCTGACTTACTGGCATGAAACTGCTTATTTGAAATACGCTGTAAGCTCCAAGCAGCTCCTGTACCCTGCAGAGCAGCAGTGCGGGCCGGGCCGTGCCTAGAGCCGGAGCAGGAAATAGATCTCGGGCTGCTCCTGGGCGCCGGGAGGTAGCGGCAGTTCCCCGCAGCC